AGTAGGTAGTAGCATCCAGCTAGTGCACACATTGCTTTCCCTTTTGTAGTGCAAATGTTTCATTGAACCCTGTTACTGTACAGCTTCATATTAACTTCCACTGTTACTGTACAGCTGTTGGAATTGTGGCCTATCTTCTATTTGCAATTAATATGCATTCAATGCAGTTAAATTATTTAAATGAAAATGATAATCTACTCTGACTAAAGTAGTTTATCAAGAGTAAAATAATAGCTGTAATCTATACACACCTCTGCATTAGCAACCTGCTGAAATGAAGGTACAGGCACCTTAACCCTCTCATTACTTCAGGGTTCTTGAGAGCAACGTGGGACTGTTGGTACACTGGCTGTGGTCATTACAGTAAACAGTGTGAACAGTGTGATGAGAGGGCATGTGAGTCTTGTTGCTGTAGTTCATCTCCTTGGAGCAGAGGCTGCATTTAGCATACCCTGCCTTATCAATGTATTTAAAACACTGTGACAGCAGGAAGCTGTACTCACGTCTGTTTAGACCTCCACCTTTATCCAGGCCCAGCTCCACTCACAGCTCGGCCCTGCGTCAAGCTGCGCTACACAACCAGCCTCCTCTCCCTGAAGCTCTTTGACCTCATCATCTCATCAGTATCTGGGCCTCATCATCGTGGTCATGAAAGTTATTTTGACCACGAAATCATCCTCATTCTACTTTGAGTTAAACAAAACAACCTGCAACCAGATGCGCCGGTGTTCCGGTTTAACGTTAATGAGTGACCGCGTGAACTGAACCGGAACACGGGAGGGCTGCATGTTTCATCACGTTACGTTTTTTCCTCCTAAATCGCGATAATGATGAACGTTAACAGTCGACAAAGTTACGCATGCAGTGGACATTAACTTAACCCAGCAAGTCTGAACGGTAACAGTACATAACGTAACTCGAACTTTAACGGAGGGAAATGAAGACGCTGTAGACATCTGAACGCTGATTGGCCAAGACTCGACACATCAAAGATGTTCTATTGCGAAGATCACGACATCACCTTTTCTCCTCGTCTCACTCCAATCTGAGAAACGCTGGCTGGCAACTCACCGTAAAAGAACGACATGAAAATATGAATATAACACATTTCCATGACTTTTCCAAAACTTTTGGGATTTTATTTTTTTCCATGACTTTTCCACGTTTTCCATGACCGTACAAACCCTGGTAGCTCTCACCATATCACAAGTTTAAGACTGAACCACAGACAGAAAAGTACAATGCTAGGCTAATGCAGGTACTTGCTATTGAGCTCCATAGGCTTATGTTTGACAACTGAGACGGAAGCAATAGCTTTAAGTTGTATTTTTTTCTTCTATATCATAGTGTTTGGAACACACTTGGAATACAGATGGACAGTGAAGAACTTGATATGTGGTATAGCGGAGCGGTTTGAAAGGTTTCTCACAACATTTTTTTGGAAGAGGGCCTGCTTTGGCAGAGGTTTCGTCCCTTCTGCTAAATCTGCAATAACAGGTCGTATTGGCCACTAGGGGGCAGCGGAAACAAGGTATGAACAGAACTATGTTTAATGCTTTACACCAAACACCAAGTCAAATTCCTTGTATGCGTTAACATACTCAATAAACTGTTTCTGATTCTGACAACACAGGCTAACCTTACTAAGTCAGTGTAAATGATGCTAAGCTACCGAGTGGAAGGTAGCGCAGTCCTGCACAGAGCTAACAGCTAACGTTAACCGGAGGTGACACTGATGCACATTAGGATGCGTTCAGGCTTTTTTGCAGTAAAAATGAGTATTGGGAAAAGGTCATTTCTAACAGTATCGTGATGTATTAAAATGTAATCTTGTAAAATGTAGTTTCTGGCAAGAAACCTCATTAAATAAACTTGTTTGCAGGAGATGTTTTCACAGTGACATAAAATAGATAATAGAGAGCGAATTTTGAACTGTTTAACTTTCTAACAAAAAACAGCAACATTATGGAAACAGTAATAAAGGATTGTATGTTGAAGAACATGTGATTCATTGTTTTACTTTTGGTTTTTGCCATGGTATCAAATTAGTATCGAGAATCGTGACATTCCTTCTTTCCACCTTCCTACTCGATGTACAAGTGTACTCCTCGTCTCTTAATCTGTCCATATCTTGAAATGATTACTGCTCCAGACTCTCTTCTCTGCCATCAGGGGATTTCTGTACTGGCTTTGAAAACAAATTTCCCTTCTGGGACAATAAAGAGTACATGTCAACCTACATCCATGTCTGTCCAAAATATCATCACCTCATCATCTTATCCCATTAGATATTTGTGTGAAATTGTCTCAATTAACATATGAATTCTTAAGTTCTGCCCAAAAAAATGTGTTTTATGAGTTCACACTGAGTTCCAGATGGACGTTTATGCCAAATTTGAAGAAATTCTCTAAAGGTGTTCCTGAGATATTGCTTTCACGAGGATGGGACTGACGTGAGGTCACAGTGACCTTTGACCATCAAACTCTAATCAGTTCATTCTTGAGTCCAAGTGAGAAATTCCCTCCAGGCACCCCTGAGAATGACGGACAAGCAAACATAAAACCTCTGGCTATGGTTATTGCTAAACACTGAAACACATGGATTCTGTATTGAGCTGGATTTTCATCTTAAGAAAAAATGTTTTTATCTTAGATTAATACAGAGTCTAGCATTTGTATTAAAAATGAGCCGCAAGCGGCATCCTACGGTTCTGGAAAGTGAATCTAATGCGGAAGCTTTAAACTTGCATTCTCTCTAGTGTCCAGCAGGGGGCGACTCCTCTGGGTGTATAGAAGTCTATGAGAAAATGACTCTACTTCTCTCTTGATTTATTACCTCAGTAAACATTGTAAACATGAGTTTATGGTCTCAATCTCTAGTTTCAAGTCTTCTTCAATACAGCATGATGTTCATTTAGTAAATGATGGTCCATTCAGAGTCAGACAGACCATAAAGCAGGGAATGCTTTAGGGCGGGGCTACCTTGTGATCGACAGGTCTCTACGTCACCCCTCCGTGTTCAAATATGGTCACTTCTGTTCACTGGGTGCAAAAAACAAGATGGCGATAGCAAAAAAAATCTAGATGGCGACGGCCAAAACGCCAAACTCAAGGCTTCAAAATGGAAGTCCACAAGACGACTACGTCCACATGACGACTACGTCCACATATTATATACAGTCTATAGGAAAACATTCAGTTAGTATTACACTTCCATATTTTGTGCAACACTCAGCCTAATAATTAACGTCTGCTATTCTGCCCGAGTCTGTACTGATGACAAATCAGATACAACTCTGAGTTATAATCAATAGATAATCATACCCGTAATAAACTTGCTGCTGTGACATAGTGCAGAAACCCTCATTCAAAGCAGAATTCAGGGACCTTCCCAGAAGCAGAACGACAAAGACGAGAAAGAAGTTCATGAACTATTCTGACATGCAGCGTCTTGGTCTTTCTCACCATGTCGAACATTTAAAAAAACAAAAAGCAAAATGGTGTTTAAGGTTCTTAAATCCAATCAATACAGTATGCTCTCTTTAGTGGTTGTGAATATCAAGATGTGAAAGAACTCCATGGGCCTGTCTCTGCCATTGGATAATCCATCTGGGACTGAAGCACCCTTATAGCAGCTCTTCCTGCTATGGACTTAATTCAGTTGGAAAGTTTCCAGCGCCTCAGCGGCCAGGATTACATCCTGATGTTCAATGTCTGCATTAAAGATTTAAGGGAGCCTTCAAAAGCCTTTCAGCATACACAAAAACATGCTAACTGAATTCTTAAAATTCCAGACCACGATACAGATCCTGGAGCAGCTGAAAAAGTGAATTCATAATAACCTTCAGGCGTCGCTCAAAACCACGACGCTCAAGGAATTCACGACACACACACACACACACACACACACACACACACACACACACACACACACACTTGATTCTCCTACTTCAGTATGTAAGTGTTGGGAAGGAAACACACGTCCTCACATTCATCTTTCATAGAAAATTATGTTTCCTCTTGCATATGAATGGAAATGAACAGTGCAGGTAAAATGAGCTTGTTGAAGGTCATAATGCAAACTGGTGTTGCATAGTCACAGATTATTGTGTGTGTGGGGTAATCATATGCACAAACACCATTCAGAACTATATCATAAATCACTCTCTTCTCTCATTTAAAATGCTGGAGATGGATCGGCTGAGTACATCGCTGAGTTGGATGTTTTGGCAATTTTTGTCATTTCACCTTGCATATTTAATAGTCTGCCTCTGAAGAACTTTGGATATTATCAGTGTATTTCGACCTAACCACAGTTGGTGATGGTTGAAACAGTGAGTTGTATTTCGTTTCTGTCGAGTGAACTAAGCCGGTCTTCTCTCAGAGAGAAACTTGAATTCAGAAGGTGTGCGGTTGAATTCATTTAAGATGTAGAAAAGGTGTAAGAACATTTACTTTCTTGACCTTCTGATGGTTTATTTTGTTTATTTATTAGACTAACAAATGATTAAAGAGCTTGTGGAACATGGCAAAACATCGTGGTTGCAGTGAGTCGTACGTTCACAAACCATTGTTATGATTTATTTGATAATGCCATTGATTGACTGGTGACTCCTCACTCACCTCTCTTAACCGGCTCAAGGACGGTGGGACAAATGATCACACAGCTGAGTGCATCGCCGCCGCTGCTCTGCTGCTCTGCTGCTCTGCTGCCAAAGACACTGTTATTCTGTGCTTTTTTATTGGCCATCAACCTCACATCTAGACGCGTACTGTAAAAATAATAGACTTGAAGCCTAAATGAACACTTCGGGTTCCGGTTAATTAATCCCATGAGACGGAGCTTTTTGTTTTTGAAAACCTTCCTGAAAACGAAACTCTCTTTAAAACAGCATTAATGTCTGCTATATTAAGACTCTGTTTTTACACTCAAGGGACCCAGTCTATTTTAGAGTGCAAAAGCCTCTCGCATATTCCAGTACACATCATCACGCACTCACCTGCAGCATGGCAGCAGCCAAGTAGACAGACATAAAGATGGGGGTCAGGGTGGTGTGTCCGCTCTTCATCAAGTGGATGGTGTAGAGGAAGATCAGGTGACCAGGGATCACCAAAAGGAGGAGCACCTGAGCAGAGCGATGATTGGCTCCTGAGAAAACACAACACGGAGGTTAAAGGTGGATGTGAGACGAACACTCGAGAAACTCGAGTAGCTCGACAACTAAAAATCAGCAGTGCAGATTCTTTACCGCCCCTTTACTGAACCAAAACTAGTTTTCATGTTAGCTCCATGGGAGGAAATCAGCAGTTTGCATTAATTCATTGATATTTCCAATCGTAGCTAGAGAGGGCAATCTGTCTGTAGTGAAACAATCGAGCTCACAGACCAACTTCATCAATCAATATAGGTACAGTTTGAAGTTTTAAATTCAAACACACATCTACAGTTGGATATTTGTGATTTAAACAGCTGTCTAAGCATGGTCTTGTGTATGCAAGCGTGAAAAAAAGGCGAGAATTCTCTGTCAGAAGCGCGTCTCACAGAGTCAGTGTGGATTGGTACACTCAGCAGAACGCTTCAGCTCCTTCCAGCCAGCTGCCACCTTGTTTAGGTGTTTGTAGTGAGATGAGGAGGTATCGTATGGTTACTTGAGTCTATTGCAGTGCTTTCAAAGACAGCGACAGGAATAAATAAAAAAGGGCGTCCGAAGGAATGTTCAGCTCAATACGGTACGTCGCCCTGCGTGGCCAATTATGGCACGGTGGACATAATGCGTAATAAATAGAAAATAAATAGTTTGAACCTATTTTTTTTAAGAAAGAATATTCGATCGTCATTTTTGGCAGCCCTAGTTTAAGCTCTATTCAGTAAAGAATTAGTATTGGGCAAAGATAAATTATAACGCTATCATGAAATGTTCAAATATAATCTTGTAAAATGTTGTTCCTGACAAGAAACTTCTATAAATACAGTTGTAGTTTGAAGATGTTTTTATGGCATAATATAAATAGATATAAGAGAAAGAATTAACACCTTAGAGTACATGACTAAAACTACTAATGCCAAGACTTTTAAAAAATACAACTATTTACCTCCAAACAACGTTTTGTTGTTGTTGCAAGTAACCACTGTAGATGACAACTAAAGATGATTCTTCTTAAAAGGAAAGCAACTGGTTGTTCGTCTTATTTTTCTCTATTGTATATTTACTGCTGCTCCTTAATAAAGCAAAAGTAACTTTTATCCGACAACTCGATAAATCGATGGAATAATCAGAGGGATACTCGATTACTAAAATAATCTGTTTATGGAACCCTAATGTCAGGGAATCGTTTCTTTGCAGGAGAAAATAAACTGTCTAAAAGAGTGCATGTACTCTCTAAAAAAAATACATCCCTGAATAGTTTGGTGAATCAGCCCACCTACTGTCCACAGGATTCACCATCCTGCTGGTTTTCACTCTGGACTTCTAACAAGGAATTCATTAACATCTGGGACAGCAGGACGTGGTGGGATGGAGACCCAGCAGGAGTGTGGCTCACCGGGCATACAGCAGGAGACCCACAGTGTACCTCTGTACTTGTGAACCTCTGCGACAGCCAATTACAATGTGTGTAATTCTAATAATAACATATCATTAATATTACTGTGACTTTATTATTGAAATTACCCAGAGTTCAAAGGGAAATCTGTTAAATATGGTACAAGTGTTTATGTGTATGATTGAATCTGGGGGTAAAATAATAATTTAAAAAAAACATAGTATTAAGAAAGGCCTACGGGGTTGGCCGGCTATGCCTAGCCACCTTAGCCAACGTGTGACTTTAATTTAATAACTGGTCAGTAGTGTTGCCTGCGTTGTACTAACCTCTACCCCAGAATGTGCGGCAGGGGTAGTAGCAGCCCTTGGCCTCCTCGGGAACCTCCCCAGGAGCACAGTGGAAATGCAGGTGAGTGGAGAACCGGCTGGCTTGAATAGCCACCAGGTTACCCCCGATCCCTGCACGAGATAGGACAGCATTCAGTGTCAGGTGAGGCCAGTGAAGAGACAAAGTCAAAGCAGGTAAACATGGCTATTAATTATCATCACTCATTGAGTAAACAGAGAACGGCTACCAACCGATACTGCATTCAGTATTCATCCGGGTTCCCACTCTTTTCTAAAGATCAGACTTTACGGAGACATTGTCAGTGATGATGTAACTATGATCGTGCTGTGCACTAATGAATCCCTTTTTTTCCTATGAATTATATTAACCATTGCCGTCTCAAAACAAATAACTGAATGACATAAATAGCCTACAACTGTGCCTACAGACAAATCGTGACTGAACTATACGTACCTAAAAAGGTACAGTACAGGCCGCTGCAAATCAATATTTAAGTTTCAGTAAAGAATAATACATATATGCGCCAATTTTTTTTTAAAACAAATCAAATGAATGAATGGTTAAAAAACTCCATTGGAGAGACTGAAGTGGAATTTACTTTGGATATTAATATGCCTTCTAGACATGTTGACATGTCATTGTAGAGGTGGAAGGAATACCATTTAGAGCAACTGCATTCTGTTTAGGTTTTCTTATTCCAAGTCTGTGAGTGGGAAACACATATAGACCCTTCTGTCTGTCTCTCTATGAAAAATAAATGACATAATATATTGACAGCTTGACGGAGTAGCAGCAGGGGGCGGGGCTTAGAGGAGGCCAAATTACCTCAACACAACTATAAATCTAGTTTGAAAGATAAATACCATGGTGGAAAACAAGAAAATCTGCCACACCAAATAATGTTCTCTCTCTCACTCTCCTCGCTGTGTCAGGCCTCTAAAAATGATTGATTTGACTTTACTTTAAACAGACAAGACATTTGAGAGCCAGTGCTGTATTGAAGTTTTATAATACTAGCACATTACAAGAGAGTGAAAGGGATCACAGTCATGTTCCCTGTCGAGCAGATGAACAGTGAAGAGAACGTGGATCGCCATCTGTGCTGACGAAACACAGGGCCACTTTACATTCACATACTGCAGCTATCACACCTTTCCTTTAGCAAGTCGCACGCACGCACATCCCTGTACCCACAGTCTGGTGACTAAGCCCTGCAGGAGAGCTCACATACATACAGATATCAGCAACAAAGTAGCTGACAAGGTGAGTGCCGTTTAAGCAGAAGAAAACCTTTATTTTCCCTTTATGTCTGTAAAAACTGCCAGAAAAGAGAGACGTCTCTTTATTGAGAATCATAAGAAATGTATCATTGGAATGCTCGCAGTGCAGCGGGGAAACAGATCCTCAATACAAGGCTGCTTTCAGTCACTCAATTGGTTGTGTACTATAAACTTTAAACACAAGAAGAAGGACGTCTCAGCCCCCCCCCAAAAAACAACCCAGACCTGTTATTGTGGTAACGAGTATATCGAATCAGACCCTGTCACCACCTCGGGGTGATGTCCACTTAATTCAATCTATTGTGTCTCTTTGTCGGCCTGGTGACATCTTATTGGAGCATTACCAGCACTGCCGCGGGGCCTGTAAACAGACATAACTGCACGATGAGCAGCTCTCCGCCGCCGCCCCCTGCCCCCGCCTGCTCTCTTCCCCGGCTGTCTGAAGCTCTGTGCAGAGTCGGCGGTACGCAGGTCCCCGGTAGACAATAAACTTATATTTTTAGGTTGATTAAATGTACCAGAGTTCACGAATGTGCAGGATATTACTACAGACATTAATGTAATCTTATACCACAACACCTGCTGTGATAACAATGTGTTTATTTTGTGTTTATTTGCATTAAGAGTGGGGCAAAGTGAGACGTGAAGCGGTTCACTCGAGACGTACGTGGAGACGCATTCTTATGCTGGGTGTGAACAGACGAACCGAAAGCTTTCCCCTTGTGGGAAAGCTTTCGGTTCGTCTGTTCACACCCAGCATAAGAATCATCCAAGACACAATGCCAGATGTGAACACGGCCTTACATGCATACAGAACACAAATATTCTTGACGAACATCCGTTTGTATCTCTCTGTCTGGGGCTTCTGATCAGCGTTAGCAGATACAGTTAGTGAGCACGTTGTACACAGTGTACAAAACCTGGCAGCCGGCTGTTGTTCGCCAAGAAATAGGTCCAGCACACACCTTTACACATCTCTTCATAGAGATGATAAACAAGATCCTCCCACATGCATATACAGTGGGTACGAAAGTATTCAGACCCCTTTAAATTTTTCACTCTGTTTCATTGCAGCCATTTGCTAAAATCAAAAAAGTTCCTTAAAAGTGGCCTCCATAATCCTTAAATGGAAGAAGTTTGGGACGACCAGAACTCTTCCTAGACCTGGCCGTCCAGCCAAACTGAGCAATCGTGGAAGAAGAGCCTTGGTGAGAGAGGTAAAGAAGAACCCAATGATCACTGTGGCTGAGCTCCAGAGATGCAGTAGGGAGATGGGAGAAAGTTCCACAAAGTCAACTATCACTGCAGCCCTCCACCAGTCGGGGCTTTATGGCAGAGTGGCCCGACGGAAGCCTCTCCTCAGTGCAAGACATATGAAAGCCCGCATAGAGTTTGCCAAAAAACACATGAAGGACTCCCAGACTATGAGAAATAAGATTCTCTGGTCTGATGAGACCAAGATTGAACTTTTTGGCGTTAATGCTAAGCGGTATGTGTGGAGAAAACCAGGCACCTGCCCAATACAATCCCAACAGTGAAACATGGTGGTGGCAGCATCATGCTATGGGGGTGTTTTTCAGCTGCAGGGACAGGACGACTGGTTGCAATTGAAGGAAAGATGAATGCGGCCAAGTACAGAGATATCCTGGAAGAAAACCTCTTCCAGAGTGCTCTGGACCTCAGACTGGGCCGCAGGTTCACCTTCCAACAAGACAATGACCCTAAGCACACAGCTAAAATAACAAAGGAGTGGCTTCGGAACAACTCTGTGACCATTCTTGACTGGCCCAGCCAGAGCCCTGACCTAAACCCAATTGAGCATCTCTGGAGAGACCTGAAAATGGCTGTCCACCAACGTTCACCATCCAACCTGACGCAACTGGAGAGGATCTGCAAGGAAGAATGGCAGAGGATCCCCAAATCCAGGTGTGAAAAACTTGTTGCATCATTCCCAAGAAGACTCATGGCTGTACTAGCTCAAAAGGGTGCTTCTACTCAATACTGAGCAAAGGGTCTGAATACTTATGACCATGTGATATTTCAGTTTTTCTTTTTTAATAAATTTGCAAAAATTTCTACATTTGTTTTTTTCTGTCAAGATGGGGTGCTGAGTGTACATTAATGAGAAATAAAATGAACTTTTTTGATTTTAGCAAATGGCTGCAATGAAACAAAGAGTGAAACATTTAAAGGGGTCTGAATACTTTCCGTACCCACTGTATACTAATATTGACCTGTTCATAGTAGGAGTGCATGATATATGGTTTCATACATAATTTACAGCATCATTTACTACCTGTTAATGATTCTCAGATAGAAAGAGTTTGTTGCTACTGAGTTTTTTTCCAATATTGTGCAGCTCTTTGTCATATTGTTTTCAATATGACATTTGTCATATTTATTTGTCATCATTAGCAGTTGCCATTATTCTTGGACATATTTGAGACTTTCCAATGTATCTTTTTCGTATTACTAACATTTCTGATGATTCTCTATGTTCGGGGGTTCTTCTGGGACTTTCTTAGCCTTTATAGGATGGTTTACACATCAATTTCCTAACTGTGTCCATTTCTATGCTAAGAATCCTGTTTAGCTTTGGGACTACAGATGAAAAATAGCCTTTTGGCTAACTGGCACATTTGCAGAAATGTTTTTATTAATGTGCACTATCCCGTTCAAATAAACCAATAAATAAATAAGCTTCTTTTCATATTTCATTCCTTATTTTTGTATATACATTATATTTGTGTTAATCTATACTCCATTGTCAGTTCAATACAGCGTTTCCTCTATAATTGTACCGGCCGAAAATAACGCCAAATATCCGCTCCAGTGTTATGTTCTGCAGTGGCGCACTGCCGTGAACTGAAGCATGCGTCTGTGGTTAGTTCACATGTCTGTAATAACAGCAGGACAGTGGAGTGTCTGTTATCTAAACTGCTCTAGTCAGTTGAACAAGTGAAGATGATGTCGGTGGCCTACTGGTTACAAACAGGCTCTCGTGCTAACGAATTCAGTGTTTTTGAGTTCTTAGCTGAAGTAATGTAGCTCCGGTATGTTTAATGTGGAGTGAGCACTGCACCAGTCTTCATTTCAAATGTTTGTATTTTTTAGCGATATGGTAGTTTAGGAGGCACTTTGTTCTTGTGTACACTGACTAATTTGGCACACAGTTAACACACAAGCAAACTCAACTCCTGGTATTTACTCTGGTGTTCTTCACCACTGATTCGGAAGAAGGAAATAAAGAGTAACGGGAGAACCAGCTTTAAAAAGGACATATTTTCTCTTGAAATAAGTGCTGCGCGGTGGATTTAATGTATGCCATTGCTGATAAATATAACACAGAGAAACTTTAAAGTGATGAAATGGAGAAATGTATTTGGTGTGGTGTCTTTGTGTTAGCGCATATTAGTCAAACGGCTAATTAAACAGTCAGACTGTTGTCTCTGGGCCAGATGGTAAATTTGCCACCAAAACAACAACAATAAACAGAACCGTCTCAACAGAGCCATTAAACGGAACATTAGAACCTTCATCAAGGTGGCATTTAGTGCAGAACTGTTGCATTTAGGCTGCATTAGTTACACATAGGTGTTTGTTTTTCTTTTTACAATTGGAAATGTATTTGTACCATTGTAACTTTTTTTGATGATTTCATATGTACGGAATACTATCTTTTGACGTGCTAAAGGCTGTTTCCACAGCAGACATTTGGACTTGTCCCAATCGGAAAATGGCCGATGTGACTTTTACACATGGATTCTCTCTCTGAGACATTCAGGAACATTTCCTGCATTGTGTGAAGTGGGAATGGGAGCAGGATCAATACTGTACCACCAATTTCACACCTCAAGGCCTCGTAACATTTCAGGGAGAATGCCAGTACAGCTGTGCTGTGAATGAAAGCAGTTACGTCGCAGGGACGAGCACGTGAAGTAGCATTTATGCTAACGCTTTCACAGGTGGTATAAGGATAAGGATGTTTATTGTCATCGTACAAACATACAACAAAATTAAGTTGGCGACTCAGTCAGTACAGCAGCAACAAGGTAAAACATGTATAAAAACATTAAGACAAGACATTACTGATTCAAAACAAGACATTAAATAAATATATACAAGATAAAACACAGGCATCAATGGCTTTAAAGTGAAAAAAAGTGCTTTCTTTCAACTGTCGTTTTATTGCCCATTATCTTTCTTATTCTTCTGATGAGTTTTATGGCGGTTTGTATCCATGACAGTTGCATTACGGCCATCAGCCGGTACCTTGTCCCATCTATTCCAATATTGCTATAGCACGTGTGAAAAGGATCAACACCGAAATGTTCCTTAATGTAATGCGAATGCGTGAATAGTGAAAATCATTAGCAGTGCCTGAAAGGTTATCACAGTAATATACTGGAACTATGTGTGGGAAAAAAAGGTGCAGACTCTTGTTCTTTTCAAGTATCCCAGTAGGACATGACAGTGTCAGCCAGCATGAACAATACCAGGACCCAGAAACTGAAACATCTAAATAGAATTCAGCCATCATAACTATTTTTTGTAAATATTTTTTTACTGTGCTTTTCCTACTGTGACATTTCCAAATGTCTTCTGTGAAAAGGGCATATTGGTTGTTCTTATTGTATCATCTAGTTGGCTAATTTCTTCAATGACACACACACACACACATATCTGTATGTATGTGAGCTCTCCTGCAGGGCTTAGTCACCAGGGATGAAAGACACAGGGAGAGTGTGTGTGTGTGTGTGTGTGTGTGTGTGTGTGTGTGTGTGTGTGTGAATTTTCTAAAATCAGAAGCCAAAAACATTGGAAACTGTGGCATTTAAAATATAATTGGAGGATATATTTTGCAGCCAAAACATGTTTTTAGAATTGATAGTACTTGGATGGTGCACAGATTTTCACTTTCTGGCTTTTTGTCCTTCAGGGCATTTGGGATGGACAGGGGCTGAACTGGATGAGGGCGGGTCTAGCAACCTCAGCGAGGGGGGAGGGGAGGTCAGAGGTAGAGTGAAGGAGGATTCGGGGGCAATTTGATTTATTCAGGTCACATGCTCTGACAGGAGGAATGAGGATGAGGAGGTTTTGGGCTTCAGCGAGGCTACACGAGGGAACTGTGGGGGTTCCGTGCTCCTCTCAGCCCCAAGGGAGCCGACACAGAAAGCTGTTGCCCCGCTCACCTCTCCTCCGGGTTTGATTTCAATTTGTGTATTTGAGCGGCTCCATTACCAGCATGCGACGTGATGAAACGAACACAGATAAAAATATGATGGAAGGAAAATATGAACAGAGGAGAGGGGAGGAAACAAATGTCTTATAGGTGGAAGATGAAAAGATGAAAAGATGACAAGCAGAGATTAAAGACTGCTGTATCAGAGTGATGTCTGGTGGGAAACTGCAGAACAAGATGCATAACATAATATGATATCTGCAGATCAGAAAGACGGATCAAAGCCTTTTTGCTGACACCGGAAACTGAATTTAGGCAAGAACAGGCGTTTCTGGTGCGATACACTGTAGCCACAGAGCCTGGTTCAATATGAAGTACAACAGGAAATGAACTGGCAGACACTTCCTCAATACCTGGATTAAACATACCAGAATGAACTTCAAACAGCCACTTTCTATCTCGGGGGAAATTGCATAAAATAATGTATTAAAAAGAATTAATGGAGGCCAGTGTTGGTTAAAAAAAAAAAAAAGGAGGCTCTTTCCCTCTACCTTTCGTTTAACCTGTCTTTTCTTATCGCGCTCTACACATCTCCTCTCTAATCAAACATCCACACATCGTCCTTTCACGCTTTCTGTTCCATCTCCCTTTTCTTTCATTTCATTCTTTTATTAGAACAGGACCCTCGGTGCATTTTAATCATCAACGTCATGAGCTGCCCCCTCCTCACTCGCTGAATAAAATGCTGTAAATCCGAGATGGATAAAACATCTGCACACACACACACACGAAACAAAAACGTCTCCGCCCTCACAAACGGGCGCAGATTCCTCAGCTGTTTCGTGTCTGGGAATCGTACTCCATCTCGTTAAATGTCATTAATGGCGCTTAATTAAAAACGTATCTCTTGCTGTGGAGGTGCCAGGGCCCTGGCAGCCGTGGCTGAGCCACTTAGCGGTGGGAGGTAGAGAAGCAGGAGGAAATGGAACAGGACCAGGTTTATGGAGTCCAGACAGACAGACTGCTGCTGCTGTCTCATTAGGTCACTCATTTATGCTGATGAGCATTTGGAGTCTTTATTTAGTAACTTTCATTAATCAGGGGATTGTTGACTGAGCAAAGGCACTGCTTCGGTTTTCACATTAATTCACACCTTTGAGCTGCACAGCACAAGACAAATAGACTCTGCGGCGCGTCATCCATCTTGTGTGTAAACACTTTGTCTGAATCTCGGCTCCAAAGGGTCAAACACTGCATTAATTAACAACTGAGAGGGACAAATGAGACAAACAGCAGCAGTTTCTCCGTACCCAAAACTTCCACGGTAAACAGCTTGTTGGTGTTTGGCTGCTGCCTCGTGGACAGAATGTCCTTAAGAAACCTTCCAACTGACCACTGTACTTAACATGTTTTACTTCCCACCAGTATTTTTAGGAACAGATGTTTCACAACACAGATGAAGAGTCATTTAACTACATAGATATGCTGAATATTTTCTTTTTCTTTCTGGGATATCACGTTTTAAATTACCCATAAAGAGAGATGTTTCCATACCATTTTTTCCTTCTTGATACAGATACCTAAACTTGCATATTGGCTGATACTGAGTACCGATACCAGTGTGTTCAAAAAAACTAATCTGCATTGATCCGTCCTGTGTAAATATAACATAACGTTCTCGTTGTAATCAAAAGGGATCGCAAAGCCCTTCGCAAGGGAAAGAGGGCCTCCGGCAGCAACCAGATCAGGCTTCGCTGCCGCCTTCAACTGCAGTCGGAGCTCCGGCGGGAGGAGGAGAGCTCCGCTCCCGGCAACAGCGTCTCATCTGGCCAGGAGCAGAGCTTCGCCTCAACACCACGCTTCAGGTGACCCAGGCCGTATTGCTGGGCCTGCAGGAGGTAAGGGAGGCACAGGGGGGAACCAGAACCAGGACTGAGCGAGGCAGACTGTCAGAGCCTGCTGCAGTAAAATGAGGTTTACTGAAGAGACTCGAAAACACTACCGACTTTGTCCACAGGGACCGCCAGAATCAACACAAGATAAAAGTTCCTCATAGTAGCTTTAAGATAATTTAAATAATTCATTCATTACATCGCTAGAACCTTAATCAAAAGAAAATTACACAAAACATTCAAATTAGCATGCAAACATGTCACACAGAACTACAAATGCAGCCTTTCTACAAGTGTAGAGATACAGGATTCCTCACAGACTGCCCGACCTCCACAATGTAAACACATGAACACAAACTGTCAGGAGAGGATCCTTTCTAGTTTTGCCCATATGGGATTAGAGCAATCCGACGACACAAACTCTTCATTACATATGTATTACTCTTCTCTAAATCCCCCAGGATTTAGGAAGCTATTATATTAAAACCTTTGGTCCAGATTCTCCTCGCCTGTTGGAGCCCCGGGCGGTCGAGCAATTGCAATTCAAACAGTGACACCTTTAAGCCATTCACAGCACAAAGAAAGGAGCGGTGTCAACACGGTGACTCACCGTTGATAACCGGCGTGTACACCACGATGCCAGCCAGATTTGGGTCAGACACTGTTTTGTCCAGGATGAGCCCTCCGATGCTGCAGAGCACAACATAATTAGATGATTAACTGGTGTTTCTGTGTGTGTGTGTGTGTGTGAGCGTGTGTGTGTGTGTGTGAGAGAGAGAGATAGAGAAAAGAGGGCATGGAAGGAGGAAGAGCATTCTTCATCTAAATGATGTCCACAGTGAATTTGTGTGCTTATCTATAAATGGCACTAAAATGCTTCATCAGCTGCAGAGTGGTGAAGACTAAGAGAGAGTGGAAGAGTTTCAATAGTTTATTTTTTAGCTCATGGTTAGCAAATGCGTTCTTCTATTGCCTTACTCCTCTTCAAAAAGCCTGAGAAATGTGGGATCTGCTGCACTGAGTATTCCCTTCCTACTGGCCATATTAGTGTCTGCTCGGGTGCTGCAAATTTGTTTAGGGGGATGAGTCATCCAGACACCGGGAGTTTCAGACGCAGAATAGCAGTTCTTTCCTCCTTTGAAGACTAGACAGGCACACACAGTTACACACACACACACACACACACACACACACCTGCTGATGACCATGGCAGTGATGACTGGCTCCCATCCGGAGTAGAGCAGGGTGCGGCTGGCCGGGTGCTTGGAGGAGACGATGATCCACAGAGGAGTCAGACACATGAAGAAGGCGCAGACCAGTGACGACACGTACGGGTAGGTATCTGGGGAGGAGGAAGAGACGGCAGTTATTTTTCCTCTCTGGGTGGCGGTTTGGAGCTTTTCCCAGCATGCACTGGGGAAACGGTATGGAAAACCAGCTGGGTATGGTCCACAATGATACTTTTTTTCAGAAACTTAAGTTTGAGGAAAACAAACGCATGCAATTTTATGTGTTTATTGTTGAAAAAACTGAATTAATTTGCTAATTAATAGTTCAATTGATTGAATATTTAAATAAATAAAAAATGAACTAACAGCAGGGCAAGAATACACAAAGTTTAACCAAACTGCTGGAACTCTGACAGACGGTCGATGTTATTTTTAAATCTTCCCGCATGGCTTCGGCCTATAGTTCACTATGAGCTGCATATGTTATGAATGCGGAGCATCGAGAGGAAGTGCACACCAACACAGGGAAGGTTCCTCTCACTTTCTCTCTACAACTGCCCTCTCTTTGTTCAAACTACAAAATAGCACAACTAGTTAAAAAAAAATCAATTAGGGTAAAGCACCTGCTTAGAGCCACCACCAGATGTTTGCAGCAGGATCCTGTTCCAACCACTAAATAACCGTCATTAGGAAACCGTCCCAGATTTATCATCCCTGTGGTCTCGTAACTTGTAAACAGAAATGTCCAGTGTTCAGGTTGTAATGGGCTCTCGCAGCCCTTCGGTCCTTAAATGCAGAGCTGAGAAAGATATACTAAGAGCGGAGACTTGTACCCAAATCGAGCCGCACTGAATCTGACACGGAGTTAACATTGACAGAGTCAGCTGGCTATCAGCCGCACTCCAATTAAGGTCTTCTACAGGTTAAACTGTTTACATGAACCTCTGACACCCTGCCATTGAGTATCCTTGCTGCCGCGAATAAAACCAATGAACAAACCATTGATACTCCTGTCCGTCTGCGGTGGAAAATATTTTGCTAACTTTGCTACGCCGGGACAAAGAGCGGTCTGAATCTCTCCTTTAGCTGAGAAATGGCAAGATGCATTATGGGGCTTAGCCATAAATCTGAAGCGGGATTATTTGAACTTTCTAACTGTATGGGTTGACAATGTTACTTGATCAGGTAGGGGCAGAACATTTAAAATACATTGGTCCGGGATGCGGAAGTAACACATTTTCTACATAGATTACAATGTAAGATGAGTCTGGAGAACTTTAAAAGGACATAAAACCCTAGCTACAAATTCAGTATCCTCTTTTAAATCTCTTCTAAAAACTCACCACATGGCTTAGTGCAGGGGTCACTAATAGGCGGACCGCGGTCCGGATCCAGACGGCGTTGTATCCGGACCCAGGAGCTAAAACCGAAAGTTTGACGGAGCGATTCTATTTTAGCTGGCGCAGCTTTTCCAGCATTTACGGCACTTGATCAGCAGTGCAGGAAACACACCGGCCAATGCGTTGTAAATCACATCACGTGATGCTGCTCAGCCAATCAAGTGTGAGTATTCTGACAAGTTTCCTGACTAGAGTGAGATTTACACACACCGTGACACACGGGGGAGAGACGAGGAAACAGATAACAGAGTAGGAGAATAATGACTTTGGTCAATGAAGTTAATTCACATGACATTCTCCAAAGAGAGAAAAGTGGTCAGAGAGACCAGAGTCTTTAAACCAAGAATGAACAGACTCTTATACATTCATTCTTCCCACGGACAGTTTAAAACCAGTGTATCTCATATGTTAAGAGGCCGTGACTATAATTAAAAGTGGTAATATCAAGCGTCACTACGAGAGAAAGCACAACTCTTTTGAGCAAACGTACCCACCCTCATCTGAAATGAAGACAGAAAATAAAGCTAAGAGCCCAATATGATCAGAATCCTAACACATGAATTCACTGTCCAACAATGATGTTAACAGAGAATAGAGCTGAAACAAGTGGTTTAATAACCACAGATAAAGTCCATGCACACTCATTTCTCTTGTTAGAAGATGAGAAAAATGTAATATTGTGGCTTTTTATTGACATCACTTCACACCTGAATGAACTGAATTTAAAGCTGCAGTACAACTCAGTTAAATGAATTTTTCTAAAATGAATTACTTTATTTTAAGATGCACATTCTTCAAAAGCTTTCTGTATTCTTTAATCCAGCCCTATTGTACTTGAAATGAGAAGAACATTTATTTATGTATTTCTATGTATTATTTATAATCCATCCAGTTAAATTTGAAAACTGAGAATAATAATTGTTAAAATATAATTGTTGAATACCCCTGGCTTAGTGCCACATGTACCAACAATCTGAATTGTTGGTACATGTACAATTTGGCTCCGGCTTGTTTTACCCCTTAGGCTCTGGATTTCATTTGCTTAAATTATTTTCTTGTGAAGCACTTTGTAACTGTTTTGAAATATGCTGTATAAATACAGTTTATTATTATTATCACAAACTCTGCAGTTCCCCTCAGCGCTGCAGGGATTTTTAGCATCTTTCAGCTCTTTGTTTTGGGTTTTCAGCCCACAACTTCACTGTTTTGGTTCAGTCTCATGGCTCTCATCGCTATGTTTTCACCTGCAGCTGTTTTTCAGTGAAAAAGCTCTAACGAGCTCCGATTCGGGCCTCTGGATATTTTCACAGCTACAGCGCTCTGTGACTAGCCTGTTGGCTGAAAGCGCGTTATAAATAAACCTGACTGGGCTCCGCTTGGCTCCAGCATGGACTATGTTTCATCATTTCTGCTCAGCTGGTTTGCCTCAAAATTAGAAGCATTAAGTTCATATCTGTGTAGATAATCATGTGATTTGAATTATGTTTAGTCGAGAGTGAACTGACCATTTGTACCAATTCAGCAGGAAAGTGTTGGCGTGGCTGAACAACAGAGCCACTGTCCTGACAGTGACACAGCCAGACGCCCCGCCATGGAAATATGAAATCTGAAGTGTGTTGAACACATTTAGCTCAAGGCGCTAAACTGCTCCTTCATTGTGGTGAACATCTGTGTCATACAATTAGACCAGACAGTGAGTCTTTCCACGGGTCCCAGAGTTCGCGGTATTGAGTGACACAAGGTGGTGCGACGCAGGTCTCGGTGTGAGTTAAACATGTGGAATGTGTGGTGGGAGGAAAAAGGGACGGTGTGTTCTGTGAGTGGAGGGCAGCACTGCAGCAGAGCGTGGCAGGAGGGACCCCTGCTGGCCAACCGAGGGAAGTGTTTCACTACGATCATCTGGGCTAACAACCGTTTCTTACCGGAGAGGAGATGGACCACATTCAGTGATTGTCAATGTGTTTTGTGTTCCTTCAATCCAAAGCTTATCATAACTGGAGACTCGGACGATAGGATTTACCATTTCAGCATCAACACATCATCTCATGTATACATGTGCAATGTATGGAAAATTACAACTAGAAAAGTCTGTCATGTGCGTTCACACTGTAGACTTATTCACACATTGCTGCTTTTCGGCTCTGGTCCGATCCACGTTCACATCGGCTGTGTTGACCTGCACAATATACTTAGTTTTTTTTGCTGTGTGTCGCAAGCTGACGTAAAAACTCTTAAAACCAGAGTAATACCGGCATATTTCCTTAAATCGGAAACTGCTCAGGCCTGATTCTGAATATCCAAATGAAATATAATGTTCACATGGCCCACGTCATATTCAGAATAATAATGGCATATTAGTGAGCATGTTAATGAAGTCAGTGACTCTCTACAAAAGAACCAAGAGCTGTGAGCGTGAAGTCATGTAGACTGAGAAGGTAGCTCATTGATTGGACAGTTTTGGCGACAGTCCTCCTGCATCCTCAGCTCCTCATGGACCCACCTGGTGGCTCACATGCTGCACTAGATAATAAAAGAAAGTGGTGCGGCGTTCCTTCTTTCTATGCATTTGTTCATGTATTATAAAAAGTGTTTGACCTGAGCCAGGCCATTCAACAATGATAGAAATCATATCATCGATACATTGCATAGTATGCAGCTAAAAATATATATAAAGACAATGGGATCGGAATGCATCTACTTCTAAAGGCAGTAGCTGGTCACCTACCCAGGCACTTGTAGAGGCCCTGGCTTATCCAGGCCAGGATCGCCAGGGTTATGAGGTCACCAAAACTGGCGGCGATGGGTGTGGCTACGTTGTCTGGGTTGATGCCCGTCTTCTTCGAACCCACAATTACACCCACCATGATGAAACCTGACCAAAAAAAAAAAAAAAAAGAGTGGAGCACTTGACTGATGATCCTCATATTACTGGTGACTTTCAGCCATTATTAAACAACCAGTGTGTCAGAGAGAAATACGTGTTTTTGTAGTCCTACAGATTTGACCCTGCTTCTCCCCAGTGACAGTATTAATAGTTTATTTTAAACAGTGGTCCTCAGCTGTCACTGTGTAAGTGTGTGTGTGTGTGTGTGTGTGTTTACCCTGCAGCAGGGAGGCTATAAAGGCCGTGGCCACGCTGCTGGAGCAGAGCAGCACAGCGTGGCTCATCTGGAACTTCCCTTCCGGGATCCAGCCGAGAACCACGGCTGCTACGGCGGCCAGGAAACCCACCACCGTGGCCTGGACCTGGAGGAGAGAGGGGGAGTTACTATTGTGCTCTTTTATTGTGTGTGTGAAAAACACGCAAACAGTACTTACAGGATCAGCAGAAGGGTTACTTATAGGTCATGTGGCACATAAACATGAATGTGAAATACTGTAATTAACATCATGTCCAGGTAGGTTTTTTTCAATCCATTATATAACACTTCCTGCTGACGTGGGTGTTATTGCGTACAACCAGCTGTGTGTGTTTATCAGTGTGTGTAGATGATTAACAGAGAATGTACTCTTACTACACAGACTGAGACATCAATAAAACAGTCTGAGTCGACACTAACCTGGATCCAACCAATTACAACCACTGCTAGTGGGGTGATGTTTATCAAGAGAATCACACATAACATCCATAGCGTTATATAAATATGATAGTATGTGGGTGAAATTTTGTGCCTATATTAAATATAATCACATCGGATGATTTTTGACAGCCAAATATGGAAGACAAATCAGTAGAGGCATCTATAAGAACTGTATTCGGTTTGATAAGGAACATGCTTAGAAGCTGATCAGTGTCAAACAATCACTGGAGCATTGTTTCATTCTAACGGCTGTACGTGCATGTGGATGGTTGAAGGCTTATCTGGGAGTGATTACCTGCTTCAGTGCCAGGTTGCCTATGATTAGATTCCACTTCTCTATGGGAGAATCCATCTTGCCCACATTCACCTGTGTTGGGAAATAGGACAGAATACAGAAACGCATATAAAATATAGACTAAGGACCAAACCCATTTTATAGGTGAAGCTCAGTATGGTAGTAGTCGTGGTTAGTAGGTAGTGTATTCAGATATATGTCTTCTGTGGCTCTGGTGAAGCTGTGTTAAGTCTGAAATTGACTGACATTTCAGCTTGGGCTTAAAGACGACAATATTATAAGAGAACCACTGCGGTCATCGAGTTTGAAAGGCGAGGGTGTAACAGTCAGGGAAGGTCTAACAAAAGACACTGTTGAGTTGCATTGTGGGAAATGTAGGATGCAATGTTTCTGTAGAGTGACCATACTTGGGACATAAGGCCTTTACACAGCAGAGGCGTGACGAATAAGCAACACGAAAACGCAGAACGCTGGACTGTGAATATTAAATGTCGAGGGCTTTTATTGTGAAAGGTAAGAACAGAAGGCGTGGATCTGGCCTGCGCTGCCTTTGTCGAGGTGAAGTGTAGTAAAGTGTGCGGTCTTGGTTCGGACTACGGAGCCTCTGTGTTGTTATTTTATAAATATAGGCGCCACGTGAAACATTCCACACAACGTCATTGGTTGATTCCTTTATTCAAAAGCTCAGAAAAATCAAAAAATTACGTCTCCTTTTCCACTATGTAATATTTGCGTTTTGTGTGAAAGTATTGATGAAAAAACATATTTTGACCTGCATAACAATCCCACGATAAAAAGTGTTAAGGCCTTTGGGGTCATAAAGTCTCGAGTCTCCTTATGGAAGTGCAATACTAAATTCTTTCTCTTTGTCAACTTTACCACAGAAATGATAATGAGCAATGTTTACCTGTATGTGAATCATGGCCTGTTTCATGGCCTTAAGGAGAACATGAACACAAAGACAAACTGTTTCTTTGGGACACCACTGAGGAATTATCAGCTCACGCTGAGCTCCGCTGTCCGTGTTGACACAGCACTGTGTCAATGTGGAGCCTGTGTGCTGAGAGCCGGAGGCCAACGGGAAGAAGCAAGACAAAACTAAACAAAGAGAGAATTTTGGCTCCGTCACTTCTTCAAGACATCATGGATACACAGGAAAATACTGCCTGAATAAGCACTTTGTGCACTTGTGGACAGGATTGTAACGACACAGTTTTTTACGGGAAATCCCGCACTACAAACGTATGATTCTCTACCAGGCGAACCTGTTCACTCTCCTTACTGCTCATCCTCCGTTTGCTCTGGGAGGGCTTCGAGTGGAGCAACAGTTTGGCCATCTTGACTGTTCGGTTATCCTGGTTGCAGCAGCCCGTCCCACCCCTCCCTCTACAGGAAACCACCCCTTCACTGTTGCTACATCAGCAGATTCCTCCACCAACTCCTAATCCGCAAAGCTCTCACACCAAAAGACATTCAAGATGCTGCAAAAAAAAAAAAAAAAAAAAAAAAAAAAAAAAAAAAAAAAAAAAAAAAGTAATTATAAGTTGAGCTGAAAAGGGGACAGTATCCCACTGCAGGCCTTAAACCTGTTTCCTTCTCCATTTCACCTGACCGAGTAGACAACATTACAGAGGCGACCGATAACAACTACAGGCAGAGAGACAGAGGCTTAGTCTGTGGAGGTGAGACACCACCAGAAGAAATGATGCAACGCCACACAAACAAACACACGATGACATCACACATCATCCACTAAGAGGACATGTTGTGAGGCTGGCTGGAACCACAGACTGTATATGAGAAGTGGACGTAGTCATCGTGATGTCACCCATTGGTTTCGAGTTCAGTGATTTGGCCGTCGCCATCTTGGATCTCTGGTAGCGACCTGTCAATCACAAGGTAGCCCCGGCCTAAAGCATACCCTGCTTTATGGTCTGTTTGACTCTAAATGGACCATAAGTTACTAAATGAACATCATGCTGTATTGAAGAAGACTTGAAACTAGAGATTGAGACCATAAACTCATGTTTACAATGTTTACTGAGGTAATAAATCAAGAGAGAAGTAGAGTCATTTTCTCATAGACTTCTATACAACCAGACTTCTTTTCGCAACCGGAGGAGTCGCCCCCTGCTGGCCAGTAGAGAGAATGCAAGTTTAAGACACTTTAGCATTGGCTTTACTTGTCAGAAGCAGAGGTGGCCGCTTAGCTAGAACACAATAACGTATAAAAGCACTATAAACTTTCTGTCGACTAGGCTGTGGGGTAAAAAAAAGCAGGCGAACAGAGCCAATGCAGCCTGACGCTGGACTCCAGCCATCTAATTACAACAAATTGAACATGTCAGCTACAGAGAGAAAACTGGACGCGTCAGAGGTTGTTGTGTTTGTAGCTCATTCAAATCAGCTGGAGCCAGTAAACACCGCCTCAGCAGAATATATGGGATGTCTGTTCTTCACTCATGCTGGCTTACTGTTTGCCACATCACAATAAATGCATTTGCTACTGGCCATGGCACATTTACAGCCTAAACCTTTTAGTGACAAAATCCATTTCAACCGAGCATCAAAACCAACCTTGAATTAGTCTGTTGTCATTCTGACTGTGACCGCGCGCGCACGCGCGCGCGTGCGTGCGTGCGTGCGTGCGTGCGTGTGTGCGTGTGTCTCACCGCTGTGGACAGCCTGGAGGCCAGAGTCATCTCCAGGTTTCCCTTGAGGCCGAGCAGAGCGGGTACCAGGATGAAGATCTCCGTGATGTACTGGAACGCCTCCCAGTGCTGCAGGTGACACAGAGAGGTAAAAGTGGAGGACATGTCCGACCTTCTAATTACCCTCACTCAGCCACGTTTCACATTCAAATTCAAACACTACGCTATCCTTTAGATAAGGGGCAAGTTCATCATTTGCATGTGTGCCTATGAACCTGTCGACTAAATGCAACAGAGTCAAAAGAGTGGCAGAGAATCGTGGCAGAAAATCAATAAAAAGGTGTCAAATGTTAAAAACATGGATTAACGCTCGCTTGCCATGATGTTGGCTGAAATGTGGATTTTCTGGGTGGGATTAGAATGCAGCACCCAATGGACACATCTGTCAATCGAGACAAAAACACCCATTAAACTAATTGTTTCAAACGTTAACGTCCTCCAAAACAAGAAAACATTGATGAAGTCAAAATAGCTTCTGTAAGATGAAAATCTGCTAGACAAAATAAAAATAATCATAATTGTAAATCCATATACCAGCTTATTCAGGAGCTTTCAAAAGCGACTAAGTGGAACAGGAATAGTTTGTAGTTTGTATGAGCTACTTCTCCATAGCCAGTGTATTACCTACAGTAGATGGAGTTTGGAGAAACAGACAGGAGTACCAGCACGGGAGCAAAGCAATGTACTCGTGTGGACGTATTTTAGACAGTTAAAAGAATCACAAGTGTACGCTATAAAGAAAATATTTCCCCCTCTTTACCTTGCTGCCCTTTCCCTTTTAGGTAGACCTTCTTATAGGTGTCTAAAAACATTTGATGCATTCAACATGTTTGTTAGGCCTCAGGAAAACACGCAGAGCCTGTCTGTAAGACACACTGAATGTAAACAGAACTTTTGCAAACAGAACACCACAGGGCAGCTTTAAAAACAGGCAATTGATTATCATTTGTTTCTTTTTTAGCCAGTAGCTTGTGGCCAGCTGTACTTTAATGCGGCAATTCTTAAGATTTCAGTCCAGGTTGATTTAAAATTTCTATTTGAGCAGAAACAATAGGAATTGTTCTCAGAGTTAAGCAGTCTGAAGTATTCTTGTTGCTACATGTGTGCATAGTTATTAAACTGTGATACAGAAATGGGAATGTTGCCACATTGTAATGCTGCAAATACATATATATTGCAATACTTTCATCATTGGGCCAGAGGTTTTTTACCTCCTTCTGCAGTAAAAAGTGAAGAGGATTTATAACCGTTTGCTTGTTTATAACCTCTCCGATTGTCTGAGCGATCATGTTTTTTTGGCCCTTCAGACTTTGTTTGGGTGGTGACACCTTGCTTCCACATCTCACTGATTACGTCGCTGAGTACAGTGTTATCAGAACTGATGGAAACAATGGCGCCAACTATGAAAATAAGACCCAGTATGTGATCAACTGGAATTAGCCTTTAGTGCCACCCATTCTCGAGCTCTCAACCATGCCGGTTGTGCTTTGAATAATAGTTGCATTGTGGTTCAGCTTACCTGCACAATATCCAGCACCATTCCAGCTGATACAGTTCCAAATCCAGCCAGCAAGAAAGGCAGCAAGATCTGCAGCGCCATGGCCAGCAGCGACTCCTTGGGCATGTTCTGCATGACCGTTCTCGGCCCTTCCTCCTCGTCCTCATCCGCCTCGTCCTCATCTGCCTCCTCCGCGGAGAGCCTCCTCTCAGCCAGCATGGGCTCTGTTTCGGAGTAGCCTCCATCTCCACAGTCAGATAAAGTCACGGAGGAGCGAGAGGCCCGGTCTAGGAGCCGCCGGCCTTCTACGTGCGATGTCTCCTGTCTGTAGCCGTTCTGGAGCGAGGGGCACTCGGGTTTGGCTCCGAGGTCCACCATGGCTAGCCTCTCCTCCTGCAGCTTGGTGTAACCGGTGGGAACCATGGTCTGGAATAGAGAGGCGATCCGCCCAGAGGAAACAGGTTTCAGAGAGAGAGCACTCCACCCTGCGCCTGCTCCGCTCATACGCACTGTGAGGCTAGAGCCCAGGGAATCCCCAATGGCTCCTCCCAGACTCTGGACACTCATGGTGTGGTACAGGGCCGCAGTTTCTCATCTCCTGTCATCCAGTGTCAGAGTAGTGTAAAAAAGACGGACAGTTCAAGTGGTTCAGACTGGCTCAGGTGCACTATTCATGCTGGAAATTGGCTTTAGAGACTCATCAGCCTGAGGGAAATACACAGAGACAGATAACAGAGGAGGGAATTTACGGGAGAACAGAAAAAAACACTATATTTAAGATGGCAATACACTGAGATGGAACAGCTGAGTGACTTCTCATCAAGAGGAACAAAACCTCCATTATTCAGTAACCAGAGAACCAAGGCTCTAAATGTGGAGCAGCTGTTTTCATGTGGATAACAGAGGAGCTGTGAGGGAGTCCATGCAGCTTTTACACCAACATGAGAGGCAGGAGTTTGAATTAAAAGCGCACACATAGGTACAGTGGCTACAGGCTTTCTGTATCTTAAAAGGCATTAAATCTTAAAGATCATTTTTAGTCTCCCGTTCACAATTCAGTGCCGGACAATGTGTTGGGATATTTAGCCTACAGACACACAATGCAAATGTCCACACATCACATGCTATTGGCCAAAAGGCATTTCTCTGGATGTTGTGGAGGTGGAGACTCGGGTACCGTTACTCACTGGAAAAGGAATGTATTAGTTTAAATAATAAAAGATAATCGCCATCAGTACCTACACAGTTTAAAGTGGAGGAACACAATGATAAATGTTGAGAAATCCAGAGGAAACTGAACAGCGTGATACATTTTTAGCATCTATTGTTGGCATTAGCGAGAGCAGAAAATATGCCTCTGAAAATAAAAGTAGCACCGTGTTGCTTGGTCTTTTGCTGATGATGCAGTCCAGAGTAGCTTTTAGTTTGTCCATCTTTTCATGTGCATTATTGGCCAGGCCTTTCAAATGAGCCGTCTGAGTCAGTATCAGGATATTCTACTTAATGATAACGCCTTCGTTTAACGCCATATGACGGAAACTGTTTGATAACAACGCTAAACACCGAAACATTGGCTAACGCTAGTTGTAGTTGTATGCTGATGTTAGCTAACACTGTGCTATGCTAGCTAGCTGGGCACAAATAGTAGAAAAAAACAGTAGGCAGCGCGGCTCCCCTGCTGGCTTCTGCGTTAGCGGTCCAAGAATACGGTGAATGTTAGCTAGTACATATAAGAACAGCAAACTACTTATTGTGGTCGTCACCGGATATGATTTCTCTCCATAAATTACCTTTCTGGAGCAGAGACATCTCATCCAGAAGAAGAGATGGGAGTCTTCTTTCTTGATAGTCAGCCAGCCAGAGCCAGGCAGAGAGCCGCGTCAGAGCGGAAAAGTGCCACCAAAGCTTGTCTATGTTGAAAAGATGAACTACTCCGTCTTGAAAATAGTGGGCGTAATCCGCACTGGCACATCAACGTTTTGGGTAGCCTTGATTAACACCAAAGACGTAATGTTAAATGCATTTGAAACATTAGTTTGAAACTACGGTAAACGATGCAGCATTTGCAAAAAATGTTTTCCCTCGTCTTTAATCATTAATGATTTTATTAGCTTTATATTCTTGGTGATGATGCAAATAGTAACGGTGATGATGGTAGATGGAACATTACGCTGTATCTAAACTAAACAAGCAATCGGCTTTCAACAGACAAACATACATTAATGATGTACAAGGTTCTTATTGAACTGGGTCGATTCTGTCCGACGGCTTAGCAAAACACAGTGGGAGTGGGATCTCGCGCTACACCGACAAGCTCAAATCAGAACAAAACGTGCCGTACCACGGATGTATTGAGAAAAGTGCCACACAGATGGTTTGATTGTAGTGCGCAGGCGCATAGTACATTTGGGAATTGTTATAATAATAATAATACATTTTATTTATAGAGCGCTTTACATTAAAATCATCATTTATAAAAGCTATACACTAAAAACATGAAACACACAATAATGGTCACACATTAAAAGCAGTTTTGAAAAGGTGGGTTTTGATTTGGGATTTGAATATGGAAAGGTCAGTGCAGTCTCGGATGTGTTTGGGAAGAGAGTTCCAGAGGGAGGGGGCAGCTATGGAGAAGGCTCTGTCACCCCATGTCCGGTGCTTGGTCCTGAGTGGAAGGGACAGGAGGTTGGCATCAGAGGAGCGGAGCCGACGGGATGGAGTGTGGTGGTGAAGCAGGTCGGTGAGGTAGGAGGGGGCCTGATTGTGGAGGGCTTTGTGAGTGAGGAGAAGGATTTTGTATTGGATCCGTTGTGGGACGGGGAGCCAGTGGAGGTTCTGGAGAACAGGGGTGATGTGGTCACGGGAGCGGGAGTGGGTGAGCAGCAGAGTTTTGGATGTACTGGAGTTTATTTAGGATTTTGGATGATGTGCCATGAAGAATACTGTTGCAGTAGTCGATTCTGGAAGTGATGAAGGCGTGGATCAGAGTTTCAGCAGCAGATGAGGAGAGTGATGGGCGGAGACGGACTATGTTTTTTAAGTGAAAAAAGGCAGTTCTGGTGATTTGTTTGACATGTTGTTCAAAGGAGAGGCTGCTGTCGAACATGACTCCGAGGTTGTGGATGTGTGGGGAGGGAGACAGAGTGGAGTTGTCGATGGTGAGGCAGAAGTTGTGACTGGTTTTAGTGAGGGATTTGGGACCAATGATGATCATCTCAGATTTATCACAGTTCAGTTTGAGGAAGTTGGTTTGCATCCATGATTTAATGTCAGTGAGGCAGCTGGTGAGAGTGGAGTGAGTAGCAGTGGTAATGGCCTTTGTGGAGATGTAGAGCTGGACATCATCGGCGTAGCAGTGAAAGTGAAGACCATGTTGATGTATGATATTACCAAGAGGGAGCAAGTAGAGGATGAACATAAGAGGACCAAGCACCGAACCCTGGGGGACGCCTTGAGACAGAGGAGCAGTGGAGGAGGTGCAGTTGTTGATGCTGATGAACTGTTGTCTGTTTGTAAAATTTAATCCAGGAGAGAGCAGTTCCGGTGATGTTGAGGGAGGATTCGAGGCGGAAGAGAAGGATGCTGTGGTTGATGGTGTCAAAAGCTGCAGTGAGGTCGAGGAGGATGAGAATGTTGAGGTGACCAGCGTCGGAGGAGAGGAGGAGGTCGTTGGTGACTTTGAGGAGGGCTGTTTCAGTGCTGTGCTGTGAGGGGAAACCGGATTGAAATGGCTCGAACAGCTCGTTGGATAGTACATTTGGGAATTGTTGGATTTGTTGTCCAATTTTTTTTATCATAAAGCTCATAGGTTCATTACATTTTACAACACTATTAATTCTTACCACCTTTAAGAGGAGCTGAAAACTCAAAAAGGATAATTTGTGCATGTAGTGTACAAGTTTGGGTAAATTTAAAATTGGCCTTTAGTTTTATTTTTTGTGTGCAAGTATCTCAACTAAACATGATTGATTGATGGGCACATGTACACAAACTATATTAGTGTTTGTTTATTGAAAGGATCCCCATTAGCTGATAACAATCAGCTCCAAAATGACTGATAAGTGTGATTATATGAATTGTGGATAAGACAAAAATTATTTTATCTTTTACTTTCTTAGTAATCATACACAAGACTGTATACTGACATCAATCATTGAATGCATGCTTCTCACATTGTTATTTTCCTTCATTAAATCCTGCCAAACACAACAACCTGTCTGTTCTTTGGAGACTACGGTGCTGGGAAATATAATGTCAAGCTGGCTGTAGACAGTAACGCCTCAGCCTCTCCTCTGGAGCCACCCTCAGGACAAAAAAGTTTTTTTGTCAATGTTTCATCTACCCAACATTTTTTTTCTACCTTCATTATATGTGTGTGAGTTGGAGGAGGAATTTAATTTATTCACAGTTAATAAATATATACTTGTTTAAACATGCTAGTTGAAACATGCTCATGGTGACAAAGTCGTTCTGGAAGCAGGTCAGCTGCTAATGTCACCATTAACAGATGAACTACTTAAGAAGATTCATGTTCACAACATCAGTGAGGGTAAAGTATGTGAGATAACAGGATCATTTTACATGATCTTTTTTTATTATTTAAAAGAACATCAAAGCAGTCAAGTGTAGAAAGTGTGGAGCTGAAGCTGGTTCAGTGTGCTGAGTGGACTGCTGTGGTGCTGGAGCTTCCTCACATCTCATTGGTGACGTCCACTCTCAGAGGCTCCAGGAAGGCCAAAGACCCAGGGAGATTCCTGCCCTGTGATATGAAGAACAAGTCAGGAATGTGGATCTTTCTCTTGGTCCGCTGTTAGTGTCAGTGTCTGCAAAACTTCAGTTCAAGTGTTGGCCTGCAGTCTAATTCATGTCTGAATGAATCTGCATTAATCAGTAGCGTCACAAGTTATTTGAGTCTAGAAAACATTTGTAGGCTTCATCTTTGACACTATTGAATCAGTGGAACATTGTTAAAGAAGGTGGCTGTAAGATTAGCATGTTAACTTTAGCTTGTCACAACTTTATGTCGCTAATGCTACTTCTGTAATCTTAAATCTTATATGAATGGATTATTACTACTGACGTATGTAATAATATGTCTAGACAAAATGTGCAATGTTTCCGGTGACTACAGCTATCAGATAAATGTAGTGGAGCAAGAAGTACAATATGTGTCTGATAAATGTGATGGACAATAAATAAAAAGGCATGAAATGGAAACACTCAAGGAAAGTTAAAGTACCTCTAAACTATACATCACTGTTTAATTGCCATCTGCGTTCACTTCATTCATAAAGTTATTGATTAAATCATGCGCAACTGACGACCCATCATGCTCCAAAATAACCAAACAAACGTCTGTGCTTCCATAGCATTAGACCGCTCGTTTAACACTGGTTAGTCTCACAGTCACTGCATGACTAAACTCTTCATTCTTCTGCCTAAATACTAAATCACACATGAGGATACAGTGTGTAGTGCAATCTCTAAGAGTGATGATTGAACACAGCAGCTGTGGCTGTAGATCCAATAACTTTACTTCATCTCCTTCACTCAGGCTCATCACATCACTGACATGCTGCTGTGATTTGATAGGTTCAACATAGTCATTGTCTATTTACGGTCCGTGCGATTTTTATCAGCCAACTTCACAGTTTAGTTTGGCGAAGTCTTCCGAAACACCAGAGGGCGCTGTGTAAATCCTTGTTTCGATATATTCCCCTTACCCGTTACCCGGATGTTAACCTCACAGGTAACACATGTTGATGGAAACACTCGTCTTGTCGCCTCTGAAATGGAATTAAATATCAAGAAAACGAGTTCGCAGGCTTTGCTGTCATGCGGGAACGGAGAAGGTTTGAATGCTTTTATTAGCAGACGTAGTTTCGGAAGAAAAATGCAGTTTAAATGAGAAAACCCAGTGTTTGTAGCTACGATACCTTAAAAAGTTAGCTAATGTTAGCTTACATTTCAACCCACAGCACCCTAATTTAATTATTGTGACGTAATGAATATGTTTAAAACGATATCTTCTAGGAATTAACGTAAATCTAGCTCCATAGTATTTCATATTTGTTTACCAGCTCTGGAAATAACAAACTAAATATCCCCACAGACCTGAAGTCATGTTTACTAGTTACGCAGGAAAAGTGCTGATGTTGGAAATAAGCACATTTTCATGAACATAGAATATCAGACATGGTTGTGGCTTGCAAAATATTTGAATATGATTCACAGCAATGTCAATATGTAATGTATACAGTATATTATTAATGTCAAAGAAAGAAAGATAGTTATATATACGACACTAGGATGGATATGAGTAAAGCATCATCTAGATAGCACGATCAGCCTGAAATGAGAGTGATATTCCACTATTATTTATCACATGAGACAGAATGGTACACCACTTGTGGACTGTCCGGTGGCCCATAACTGTCAGGGATTGTCCCTCTGTTGTCCTTTCCTCAGCGCTTTGTATCACATTTTGTATCTGGACTTTCTTCCTCGTCACTGTAGAGAAAGGCGTTCTATTGGGACTGATGTGAGCCTTGTTTGTCTTGCTGCTAGGTCTCAGTGAGAAGCTTCTCCTCAAGCCGAAGGCCGGCCGATCCCTGCAGACGGAGAGAGTCCCGAGGAGCAGCGGTGAGACCCGACGTCACTTCCCTGCATGCCGTTTTGCTATGAGTTACAAGGTTTTTCTTTGGGGGTTGCACAACAAAATTTCGATTGTAGTCCCAATTTGCTACATAGGAAATAATAACAAACAACTCTATGATATATGGAGGGTGGAAGATGAATTAGGAAGTCTCACAGCCTGAGGAAAGAAGCTGCTCTGAAGTCTGGTGTTGGGTGGGTTTTGTCTTTTAAAATCCTTTTAGCTCTTCTCAGGCTCCTCTTCTCACCAATATCACTGACGCTCAGTAGATGGGGGGGCCAATGATGTTCTGGGTGGTTTTATCACCCTCTGTCGAGCCCTCCTGTCCTGTGCCAGTTTGTAATATTTGCAGTCAGGATGCGTTTCAGAACTTGGGATGGGAATTTAGCTTTCTTAAGTTTCCTGAAGAAATACAGCCATTTAGGAGCTTTCTTCACCAGGATGGAGATGTGTGAGGACCACGTCAGGTTGTTTGTGATGCTGATTCCCAGGAACCTAAAGCTGTTCACTTGCTCACCTCAGCTCCATTGATGTAGACAGCGGTCTTTAGTTACATTTGACAGGTGTTTGGTCGCATCTCTGGAGCCCTGTAAAACACAGCCTATTCAGCATATTTTTTGTGTAACATATGGCTGTTGAACTGGAGGAAATGTTAATTTCTTGACGACTCCGATGTTTGATTTTACCCGCAGTACCGATATCGTGCATTCCTTCTTGTGACGTCATAGTGTGCGCGCCGTTATCTCCTTTTTGTGAGGCGTCACAAACGGGTGGACGTGGCCAAAACAGTGCTGCTCTAACCCTGCTAACACACTGTTTACGTGTTTGTACATAAATGTAACACCTTATATTAAAAATAAAAAGATCGCTGTATAGGTGTGGACTCGGCCTAATAACAAAGCCCTTTTGAGGCAGAAGTGTGATGATGTGTGGTTGTTTTCAGTGTTGGAGCGGCTGCAGAGCTTCCTGCCTCAGATGGCCAAGGCCAACGAGAAGCTGAAGCAGCAGATGGCCGACGCTCCCGCCGGACACTTTGACATAGAGAGCGTGGGGGGGGGCCGAGAGTGTCATAGAGATGGTGAGCATCTGTCCGCCTCCCTCTGGCGGACCACAAAACTCCAGATATGAACGTTGAATGTCCTCACAGCATTTGTGGTACGATTGGATCGAGCCATGCGGTGTCTCCCTCTTGTCCTTCAGGACGTGGCGTTGGTGGAGCTCAGCGGGTCTGACGGCAACTCCGAAGAGGAGACTTCGGACTCTGAGGAGGAATCGGACTCCCCTGAGGGGAGCGAGGTCACGGAGCAGAACCTCGTATTACCCGGAGACAAAGGCAAGAAGAAGAAAGCCAACATCCAGGTCCTCCATCAGCAGGGAGAGTAGAAAGAGTGGCCGCACAAACTTTTGGTTGCGTGTTGTTTCTTTGCCCTCTTGAGATGATGTGGATTAAACTGATCCGACCATCCGCCTCGGGCGTGGAGGGATATTACCTCACAGACACAGAACAGGAAGCTCCTGTTTGGAGCCAGAGGAACATATGTAGATGTCATTTTGTACATTTAAAGGGTTTGCAAAAGTGCCTTTGGAGCCAGAGCAGATACTGTAATTACCTCATCCAGTCTGGCCATCAGCTGACCTCTCCAGGAACTTGATGTGTTCAGGCACAAACGCTGTGGATCACCTCATTGTGGCGACCATACAAGCTGTGCACATACCCTGCTACGTGCACATGTATTGATTCCTCCAACGTGTTAGCTCTCTGAAATAATAATGAAACACCGTGTTGTCTGGTTTGATGGGTCACAACATTTTAGTTATAGTCCTCTCTTTTGTTGATTATGTTGTAAACATTAGGTATATACACGTGATGGCTCCTCTTTAAACAATGCATTCAAATCATAATTCTATCAATATTTTGCTACTGGTTCCTCTTTGAAATCTATTAAAATTATTTTATATCAAAAAAAGATGTCGTTTCGGATTCAACTTGAAAAGTCTTATTAGGGGTCCAGATAACTGAATAAGCTGCACTTAACAAAACCTCAGAGGAATTTACAATCTGTACACATGCAACATCCTCTGTCCCGGGACCCTCACATCGGAACAGGAAACACTCCCCCAAAAACCCTTTTAAGGGGGAGAAAAGAGGGCGAGACCTTAGAGACAGCAACAGAGGAGGATCCTCTATCAGGATGGACAGAAGTGTGATAGAGGTCATGTGTACAGAATGAACATGAGTTATAACACATTCTATGCACATGACAGAAATGATCCATATAATTAGTAGTAAGCAGAATAATAAACTACAAATGTTTGCATTTTTATTGCTTCAATTTGATTTTGTGACAGTCAGAAAGAGGTCAGTGTTCTTCTCAGCAGCATACATTCAATACCTCAAGGCTGCAAATGAACATGTGAACTCATCAATTAAAGGAGTCAAATATCGATTGCCTTTAAAAAGTTTGGAGTCACCTGTTTTTTTTTTCTTCTTTCCTTCAATAATGCCTTCAGAATTCCGACACCAAATGTATTATTGACATTTGAAATAGTTTTGGCCCCAAGAAAAGCAGCATTCAATGATTAAATGTGGTCGATGATCCACAGTGTTACATCCGGGGAGAATACTGTTGGAACCATCTTCCTCAAAATACAATTCCATTTTGAAATTGTTTTCCAGTTGAGATTTAAACTGGTTTTATTTAGTCCATTGTATGTTCAGCTGATCCAATGCCAATAATGCTGACCCTACATTAACCTTCTATTGGGAAGTTTTAAGAAGACGCAACACACTTGAAACCAACACTTGACACTGAAAAAGGAACCTGTTTCTATTTCAATCTGACATGATGCTAAGCTTTCAGTTTCTTTTACCAATGACTGGTGATTTATTTGATTTGATTTGTTCAGTTGTCATCCTGTGACCTAACACAGTTGCAGGTGAAGGTCTTCCTCAGAATCCGGGCCACGGCAGACAACATCCTGATAATGGCTGGGCACTTCTGTTTCTTTTGGCACAGGGGTGTCGCTGCATTATCCAAGCGGGCAACTTCACGAGTGTCGACTTCACAGGCTGGAGTTTGTTTGCTGCTTCTTCTTTTGAAATACCTCCATACTTTATCAACAAAGCTGAGGGGCTTCCGCGCAGCCTCCTGCTGCTGCCCTGTTAATTCCCTAGCTGGAGCCACTTCAGGGGACTCAGTTTGGTCCAGCAGGTTATCAGTAACCACAGAGAGACGGGTCTTCTCCCCCTGCGGGAGCTGCTTTTCACTCTCGAATGGAGTCACCGAGGTCAAACAAATGCTTTGTTTTGAGCTCTGGCGCTCCGTCAGAGAGCCTTTGGCTGCCTCACGTTTGAGGTTCTGGGCCAGACATGTCTCCAGTATCTTGACAACATGGTAAACCATATCGTCAGTCGGAGATTCCAACGATTCCTCTGCTTGTCGGGAAGAGGTCGGCTGCGTGATATCAGCCAGTTTGCTGTTGACCTCCTTGGCCACTTCTCCTGCAACCAGCTGCAGCAGTTGGTTGGTGTTGTCAGACCTCTCCGCTGCGACATCTAACATTTCTCCAAGACAGAGGTGGAGTGAATCTCCAAGGCTGGCTTGTACATCATCCTCTGTCACAGTGTGGAAGTTCCTCTCTTGATGTGGAGATTCAATCCTGTTCCTAACAAGAGAAACAGTCGTACTTTAGTCAACTGACCTGCTCTGGGCAATGACATTTAGACAGTGATGTCTCCCTCTGAACATTTCTCAGAACATAAGGCTACCAAACTCAACTCTGATAACTAATGTTGTATTCAGCAACACTCGAATCTGGTAAAAAGAAGCAATACTGATCAATACCTGTATTTTGTGTTAAATCTCGTGGTGACAACATGTGAGTCCACATACAGTAAAGGTGTTTTAGAAGAACTTGCAAGTGAATACCACAGTTGCTGTTGAAGCGTTTGACTTACATGGTGACAGACGCTTTGTTGTGGTCGCTGGCACTCTCCTTGAAACTTTGGCTCCAAGTCCAGCCATAAACCTGAGGGGCCACAACATCCAGGACCAAGTGGTACACCCTCTGTATGATGTTGTGACACATGTCGGACAGCAGTATGACCGTGTCAGAATCAACGTTGCCCATCGCCAGCAGCGCCCACTGACTGGAAGAAGAAAAAGTAGGAATGGTTCAGCGAAACAAACATTTGATGACCAGTTGATTTGACGACCTTTAACTTTGTCTCACTTTTCTTTCATATCCATGAGAAGTAACATGGCCACTTCATTCAAACTCTCTGATGTGAGCAGTGGCAGCTCCAAATCACTGCACCTCAGCTCTCCTGGTTCATCGAATGAGATCTGACAGGAGGAGACAGAATGGGGCTTTAGGACTAGGTATCTTTTATATATCAACAAAACACCTCTCAGTGGGATTAAACCGTCTACAGTCTGAAAAGCTGTATGCAATGACACAGACCATAGGTACATCTGTGCACATCAGGAGCCTGTGGCGCAAATACAGCTGTTGGACAATGGAACATGTAACTGTTGGGAATTTGAATGTCTTACCTCGATATCCATGTTGAGCAATGCGTGAACTTTTAAAAATGCAATCAAGTACTTTAACTTCTCCGTAGTTTACTCACTGCTACTCTTGCTGTTAATAAGGTGACTGTAGAATGTAGAACACGGAACTGTGCATTGTGTATTAATTCCATTCCATTCTTCACTTAGCATCAGAAAAAAAGTTCCATTTCAACCAGCATGTCAGTACTTTTAAATATCAGCATTTGAAGCAAGATTTACGATATTTTTTACACTTACACGTAAAGTCTATTGTTACAGTGAAAATAAATAATAATAATAATGATGATAATGATGATAATGGTAAAGTGTAAATATTTGCTGTAATCACTGTCAAATGATCCACACATCCAAACAGACTGACACATTCAGAGTATTGTATTATTGAAATATTAAACTTGGCTCCATGATTTTATGTTTCATCACCTGCTATAGCCAGGGGTCAAAAGCAGTGGCAGCTGGTGGAAAATGTTCTAGGTAGGGCTGTGCCACATCCTATCAATTTCAGCAAACATCCCAGTATGATTTAATGCAAACAAATTAAGGTATCAAACACGCATTACTACTTTGTAGTTAAATATTTAACCTTTATTCCAACATGAAAAAAAGCAGTAAATAACACTTTGATAAACACGTCAGGACATCTTATTTGTGTCACCCTCACATGGAATTCAGTATAATATAATAATATATATCATATAATAATATATATATCATATAATAATATTCTGTATAATATAAAACACACACACACACACATAGATATATATATAATTATTTACTTATAACTAAATATCCATTTCTCAGACAGGTGCTTCATGTCCCTCCCGTAACTGTCCGTGCTGGATCTGTCCCCGTTGTTTTAAAAAGCTGAATAAGTTATTAGCATGACGTCATCCAGCTAGCCAAACCTGTCTGGTGTACAGCTGCTAGAGAAGCTTCACATGTACTGCTTCCCTTTCCCGCCAGTCTGCTGTCTGATTGTGAGGTCAGGCTGATCTGATATCAGCTCTTTCACTGCAGTTTCTCCGCCAAAGTTCTCCTCTCAAACGGGTCTTGGAGGAGCAGTGCTAGCTCGCCGGCGCGAGCCAGTGGAGACTAGTACTGACGAGATCGCGCAATTTGGCGCAGATATCATATTTTACACATATTACTGAGTGATTCAATATTTCAAAAACACAAATATTGACAATTTGTTTAGTTTATTATTATTTTTTAATTTATTTTTTAATTTGTTGTGGCTCAAGGGGGGGCGGCGCCCTCTACTGACCAGCCGCCACTGGTCAAAAGTGAGGTTTCCTCACCTGACCAAAATTCATATTCTCACTGGTGTTACATAATACCAGTCCGGGGATTTATTTCAAAAGCATCTTCCGTGATCAAATTTACTTTAAGTATGTGCGAAGAACCTACAATTAAGAGGTCGTTGTCTTTTAAACTTGACATTGACCTTCATGTATATCCTGGAATATTCTACTGATTGGGCTGGATGTGTGCTCCTCATTTGAACATTACCATGAGGAGTTTACATGTTTACATGTTTTTTAACTGTGTGCAAACATTACATGTTTTTTTAACTTGGCTGCTCTTAGTCATTAGACAACAACATTTTAGAAACAGGGAAATGTGGAGAAATCAATACAAATGATCTGCATGGTCAGATACCACTGGAGGTTAACAAGAACATGTTTCCTTGACATTGAACCAACCCTTTAAAGCATGACTGTGTAACTTTTGAATGGAGAAGACATTCACTTAGATGATGTTATGTTGTAAGCTTCCTCTTTCCAGGGTAACTTAAGATGTTCTATCACCTTTTTAATACCGATTACAATGAAAATGAATGCTGATTTCAGTATGGATTTTAAGCCCTCGAAAAGACTGATTTATCATGTTTGAATTACATAAAATATTTTATGATAACAGTCACATTCATATTTAATACACAATAGTTTGAGTGTTGTCAGGATTTCTGTTGTGCTTTTTTCTGTGTTTTTGAGCAACAAAACTGAGCTTTTTTATGGCACTTTGTTTGAGAGACTTTAAAATGCCACTTTTTATGGTGTTTTTCCTCATGGTAATAAGCTCCTCCTTCTGGTTTGCATAGCCAGTAAGCCCAATGTTTCTGTAACCAATCGGTCCAGAGTAAAGCCAGACCGAAGCAAAATGCAGCAGTGTTATCTATGCCAATATATTGTTGGTGTTCTATACGTGGAGTAGCCCAACCCTTTCCACAAAAAGGCATGTTGATTGGATTTGTCAGAATGTCAGATGAGAAGTTGTGCGTTGCCTCAATGGATCACTGGTAGGGGACTGTAGGCCCAGGTGACTTTAGAAACTACAGCAAGTAAGAGATTGGAAGTGACGTCAAAGATTTCAAAATGGCTTTGTAGCACAGCTTGGCTTGGACATAGTTTGGGCTATGCAGAACAGCTTATTACCATCAGGAATATGCCAAAAAAAACAGGAGGCGGGCGCTTAATGGCCTTTTCATAGTTTCCTGACGTTAACAGTAGGCTACCGTCGTATAACATCGAAGTCATACCAAACTGAGTCAATTGTAACATTACACACACACACACACACACAGATAGTTGCTTATGACTTACAGTATTTATTTAATCCTCTGAAAGGACAAAAATGTACCTTTGTAAACTAAATTTCAATTGTAAACATTTTTTACAGATTTGGCCTTCTTTGAGAATATTAAATTCACTGCTTTTTTAATTCCTGACCCCGCGGGTACAAAGCTATCGAATGAAAAGTTCAATACATAAATAATAAAACACACCTTTACTCTGGTCAATACACTCAGTGGTTTCTCTACTGCAGCCTCACTTGCTCTGGTATGACCAGTAGCATAGGCTGGCTAATGTCAGCTAATGTTAGCAACCTAGCTTTACATCGATTTAGCAGTATAGCTAGCATTACTTTTACTCTTCTCTACTTCTGCTACTATTAAACTCCATTTTGGTACCATTATCGTGTAGCCAGTCCAGTCTGCTATAAAGCCAACTATGAAGCTCACTGACGTGTGATCAAATGCTAACTCATTTATGTCCTTGTTGTCTTGTGCAGGAAGTATTTATCTTGTATCAAATGTGAGGACACTGTACAAAATGTGTTCGATATTACATCTACTTTCAACATATTTCCAGGAACACACTCTAAATAATGATGGTAGCACCACTTCTGGAAAGAGCAGGATCACTCTTTACTCCCTCCATGTTTTCTGAGTCACAGCAGCATTACACACTCAAATTCAAATCAAACTTTATTCACCGTCGTATGACATTACTGGCTGAAGACATGCTGTGTATTGAAGCAACAGGTCAAAACAAACACTTGCTTCTTAGCCCTTGCTGCCTCTACTGATACTGTGAGAGATAGAAAACTCATTTCACAACTTCCTCACAGTAGTGATGCTTATTACGCGGCTTTGTTGAATACTCCATTCTGATTGGTCGAAATGTGGGGCCTTCTACGATCTGTTATTTCTGTATAGCAGACCAATGCCGTGAATAACAGACCGTTGTTCTGGACGCAGTTCTGATCCAAGTACACAGCGATAGGACTGTTTCTGTTTCGCGGAAGCAATACAATTATTTTTAAAAGCAATAAAATATTTTTAAAATCCATATTTGAATGAAATGATTGATTTCTTTAATAAGCAGCCGTGTAATAAGCTCGATGTACACAATCCCTTCCATAAAAGAACATCTAGCTGGTGTGTCTTTAACAGATATAATATAGTGTTTAAACATACAGTCTTCCTCTGTCTGACAAAAATATATCAAATCATTTTCCCTCCATTGTTAAAAAATATTTACAAAAAAAGGTCCAATTTACCAAAGGGAAGAGACTGAATGTCTAAAGTGATGTGGGAGCAGACAGCAGCGAGGACATGATGTAAACATCTTGAGTGTGTGTGATGGGAGGAGAATGTAGTGGCACCGTAGCTCGATGTAGGGGCAATAAAATACTGATGAACAATATTCCATTCTGACCCAAAGTTCAGACTTCAAAGGAGAGCCATTACTAACACAATCTGAAACATGCCTGAGACAGTGAATCACATCTTTTTTTCATCATGTGGTGACGCTAAGCCTTTAAAAGCTCCTCTGAGGTTTGAGGACCGTCTGTCATACAAACATTTTAATCAAACTATTTGCATTTACCATTGCTAAGTGTTAAACTAGATCTCCTCACGACATAACGTGTGAATGTGATGCTATGAAGCAATGGAAATCTCAAGTACTGGATGTCACAGCTGCCAAACACTTCAATGAAAATGATAAATAGTCATACAAAATGAAATATAACAGTGGCTAAATGTTAACGAATGGATTACTTATCGTAACCAAGTTTCAAGTCTCTGAATGATGATTTGTATACAGAAGTAAAATCTACCTAACGAGGAAGAAATCATTCTAAAAGTACGGTTCTTCAACTTGCATTTGGCTGTCATGAAGTCAGTCCTTATTAAGACTTTAACCAATCAATAAAGTGTCAACAATCCCTTTTTTCTACGGCTACCAGTTTGTTTTTATGCGAGTGTGAAAGTTCATTCTTTACCTTAAAAACAGTCTAACAAAATAATATTAGACAGTAACACCCCCTGAGAATCTTGTTGCTGACCTCCAGAGGTTTAACTTCTCACCTTGTTGCAGTGATGCTGGACTGTACCGTTGATGAAAACTATCAACACAGTCTCACTGCAGTTTATGAAATAGTCACAAAATGCAATCTATTGGTGTCGGGTAGAGGGGCTCGAATTGTGTCATTCAGAACAACTTTTTCTTTTCGGGACGACATTTCGTTAAAAACTAAAGTTAGGTTTAAGCAACAAAACCACAACGCCGTGTTCAACACCTGTCACGCGGTTTAAAACCTTTCAGTGAAAAAACCTGGTAAGTGGACCTTGAGCTAAGATTATTTTCACAAACTGCTTTGATATGGACTAACGATTCAAATGTAACTCTAGCTTTTTGGCCCGAATCCTGTTTTCCCATCAGGTCAATGACCAATCTCGACCACCAACAGCTTTACGTAGTTATATTTGGTTTGCTAACCGAATGAAGCTCTCCAGTTTAGTCCTGTTAGGCAGGGCACTGTCTACTCCAAAACTCAACCCATGGGCAGCTAAACACAAGCTTCAACATTCACATCCATGTGCTGATGAGTTATATCCATAAACTAAGAACTTTGTCTATTTTCTGGTACGAAACACAACAGACGAAAAGCTGTTCAAGAGGAAACAGAAATATGAAAGGAATGATGAAGGCAGCATTACAAGTGGATGAGAAAGGACTGATTTCAGATGATTTTCTAATCTTTAACAGAACTGCTTAACATGATTGATGATGACGGGAAAACAGGTTTGAGATTGAAAACTGTGTTTTAATGTAAAACACACTCTTATGGAACTGAAACCTTGAAAATAGTCAGAACCAGCTCGGCTCCCATCAGGTGTCCAACTCAGGGTTCTATGTAAGATACCCAGACGGGTGTAAACCACACGTGTCCCTTTGTCCATGATGTGACTTTTTACACGGAAAGCCAAGAAAAGACAGGCACGTAGTCCAAACTGTGGCTCTCATTCATACAGTGCACACACACACACACACACACACACACACACACACACACACACACACACACACACACACACACACACACACACACACACACACAGTCCAGAAGCAATGCTGAATGAAGCTGGATGTCTGACAAACAGACAGACGAGTCCCTTCTTGTTCAGATGTGGGTCAGAGGTTGTTGGGAGTTTGTGCCTCAGTACTCCACAGTCACTGCTTTGGTCTTGAGATATTCCAGGAGAGCATCCTCTCCTGTGGACCACACCAACAACAAAACAAGCATCACTAGATTGAGTTGTGAACACTTTAACCAAACAGGGATTTTTCTTTGTCAGATTTTCTTTGACTGAGTTTTAAGATGCCCCAAAGAGGTTGAAGTATCCTGTATTCCACAAAGCCAGAAATAGTGAGCAGAATGTATAGTACCCGAAACATGTTTTCTTCATAAGCCTTTTTATCTTGCGTCTCCTTAGGGGGAGCCACTGGTCTAATCTGTGATTAAACCCATTCCTCTCTTTGATCAAGTTAACACCAAATTACTGATGTGCATGTTGAAAAATATGGAAGGCCATTTCCGGCAATATGCAGAAGAAAAAAAAATCAAGTATGGGGCCGATCACACCTAGATGCGTTGCTAGAAACGGGTTGCCCCCAAAACCATTGTTTTCCTACAAACAAACAAAAAACAACGCCTGGCATGTGCTACTTTCTTGCGCTGGTTTTTAGACGCGCATTAAAAGTAAAATAATTCTCAACTTTTCAGCACCAGGTGCAGAGTCGCACCGCTCGTCAATGTCACAATTGACTAAGACAGCCAATCAAATCAAGCAAGAGGGGGGCTTTACTACTTTACCACTGACTTCCTGTTTAAATGCAGGTAGATGTGTGTGGAACGGACATTGATATTAGTGCTAGTTAATCACGATAAACTATATAATTGTCCCCTCCTCATTCAACAACAGAGCAACAGCAAGAGCTCAATGTTTCTACTGAATCATTTTCCCCCCTATTATTTACATTTGATCGCCTGGTTGCGCACGCACTCCTGCTCCATCGGCTCATCAGCTGTTTTGTCTGACTCGCTTTGCTAAGGGGTATTTTTGAAACAGCTGCACCTGTTGCGACACGTGTTGGTGTGATCGGCCCCTAAGTCATTATAATGAAAACATTTCTCCAAATATTGACTTAGTATCTCAAAAACATTCCATAGTATCTCAAACCAATGACTTTGTATCTCAAAATAATTACTAATAATTAATTTAAAATCCTGTCATTATGTAGCAATACAAAGTCATTATGTTGAGATATTAAGTCATTATGTTGAGATATTAAGTCATATTGAGATATTAAGTCATTATGTTGAGATATTAAGTCATTATATTGAGATACTAAGTCATTATGTTGAGATACTAAGTCATTATGTTGAG